GGATGAACACAGCAGGCCAAGCTGCTTGGCCTGCTGTGTTCATCCAGCTCTACACCTTGTTATCTTAGATTCTCCAGCATCTGCAGTTCCTACTATCTATGTAATCCTATATTGTCATAATTGTCTTTTGCAGGCATTGATGCCTTGAAAACAAGTGATTGCAGGAGTGCAGAACTGTCTAGTACATTAGCAACTGATCATTCACCATGTGAGATTGAAGTGTGTGTAGTCATGGATTATTTGGCTACAGTAAAGGACCAAAGCTGAGTCCGATCTTGTTCTCACTCAACACCTGCCCATTCACTTTCAGAAAGGGGTCAACTGAAACTTCTTCTTTCAAATTACAACTTAAGAAACGACATTTAATGTAAACATCCAAGTTTGTTCAGCCACTCCGTTGTGCCTGGCCTGTAGTGTTGCAAAGCAAATTGAAGTTATTCTTCAAGGGATGGATATTATTGAATTTCCTCTAGGTCATTAAAGCTCAATGTAGTACACCTACTGTTGCTTCTGCTCACAAAAATTAGCTAAAGAGTGACCTGAGATTGAACTCGGGTGCTTCCTATGCTTTCGATGTGTGAGTACATCAGCAGGCTGCAAATCAATGTTTTAATATAGCACTGACCAAACATTGTCTTTCAAAAGATTTTAAAATTGTTTTTCAAGTCTGAAGCAGAAATTAAAGATTTTTTGTAGAAAATTGCATCTCCGATTCCTAAAATAATCTTATTTTTCAACCGTTATGTCCTAATTATTCAGTTCTACTCACAGATATGTAGAATTAGCTCACTTTCTGCTCCATCACCTACAAGGGGATGGCAATTAAACTTCATTCCAGGTTTCTGCTACTGGCGTTTTGTAACTGACCTTGAGGAAATGTCTCAAAACAATCCATTGATTTTTTTTTTTCAGTGATTATTTCCTATTACCAGAGAAAAGGGCTGGAATCTCCATGTTGTGCCTTTCTCCAGATCCTCACCCTTCAGTTTCTAAGGCAAATCATTTACAAAAGAAACAAAGATAGAAATTATACAACAGTAATTTATTTTGGACTACTTTTCTCATAAGCAATGATTTCTTTTGATTTTATTCCATTCAATGCTATCACTAACCTGCAAGTTAATTTTGAGCCTGCTGACTTTGCTTATATACACCAGTCACATCCTCCCAATTGGAGGTTGTATTTGGCAGGTAATGAAAATATTGTGTCCTGCTTCATGCTGTCGTGTATTGATTACTTTGTTTCCTTTCATTTCCAGTCTGTCATTTTGCCCGTTCATGATGCAGCAAGGTGGTTGGATGAATGCCTGCAATCGGTTCTGGAGCAGGATTTCCAGGGATCCATGCAATTATCCGTTTACGATGATGCCAGCAAGGTTGTGTATGGTATTTAATTCAGTTTCAACTTTTTCTGGACCACTCTGCATTCCTAACTTAGCAAGAGCTCTTACCTTTGAGTACGTAGTCTACCAAACAAGCAAAAAGAAACTAGACCCTTTGCTTTGCGGTTCAGTTGATGTGCAGTTGAGTTATGGTGACCATGAGATTCGAGGTTCCATCACTGGTCTCCATTGAGTTTGTGAGGCTTTGATAATAGGGACTGCTTATTGTCTCCCACTGGTAACTAATGGGTGGCGATGATACAAGTGCTCTTTGTCCTGAATAGGATGAGGTGTAACTACTATGATTTCCAAGATCAGCAAAACTTTTGTCCACATTTGTCATGTTGACTGCATCTCAAGGAATAGAAATACAGCTAGGTTAGTCAAAGCCTGAGAATCTGTGCCTCAGCAAGTGTTGCCAATCTTGAGTAAGGAGTCTGGAAATACTTCTTTAAAACAAAATGAAAGGAACCAAATAATTCAAATGCTACAGGGATGATTGATATAGCTTGGAATTGAAGCATCATTTTTTCAATATGATTCCACTTCTGTCATTATAAGTATGGAAGACATTTGAACAACTCCTGTGGTTTTATGTGAAATATTTTTCATCTGTTTCCTGCAAGTTTTTCCTTTTAATTTTGAAATTGCTATTGATCAGACTCAATTACAATTTTTTTAATTCAATATCACATACCAAACTTAAATTTCTGTAATGAAATTTAGAAGACCATAATTCAATGAGAACAGCGCAACATGGGGCTTTGCTACAAGATGGACATGTTCCTGCTTTTATTTCCTTCTTTAAGTGTGTTGAATCAAAGCTATATTTGTTGTGATACCTGTATGCCAGTGAGTTATTGTCATATATGTTGAGGTTCTGCTTTTAAAATTTGACAGAATTAGTTACAGGCTTGGGGACGTGGGAGGGGGCAGTGCTGAGGGTATTTGTCTTGGTGGGAGCAGCGTTAGACGGGACAGCAACAATGTAATCCTACAAAATAAACTTTGCAAGCAACGAGCTGTTAGAGATGAACGTATCCCCAGTGGTTAGCATCCCACATTTGTGGTGTACAAAGCGTAATTGAAGGTTTTTTTAATGTATAGAATTGTAGAAAACCACAATACTGCCAGTCAGCACATAGCAGTTGAAAATACAGTTAATTCATATAAAAAGAAGATTTGATAATCAAACTAACAGCCCAATAAATCTCATTCTCCTCCCATCCAGACATGTTGCAATATGTCGGTACTTAAGATTGTAGGGATTAAGCTTATTGTAGCAATTACATTCTTAGGTGTCTTCTGAATTGTTTTTGTTACTCCTTAACATTAATAATCTAGAGTATCTGGAAGTTCAAGCAGTTTGACCGTTTCGCACCAGTTTGAATGCTTATTTAGAGAGAACAACATATACCTCAGATCATCCTAGTTACACGATCTCCCCAGTAACAGCAGAAGCAAAATACGCTGCAGTCAATGAATCTACCAAATTCTCCTGTGACTCTTTAGTCAACCAAGTCGAGCTTATGAGGCAGTGGTTTCCCGAAAAATCCTTCAGTTGCAAACTATCAGCATGCCCTCTGTAGTGGGAAATCTTCTCTTCCCTCAAAAATACACAGCTAGCATCTGGAAAAACTGTAGTGAATCCATAATGGAAACAGAGAAAGGCTGCAAATACATGATGGGGCAGGCAATATCTGTGGAGAAAGAAACTGAGTTAATGTTTCAATAAATTTTCTGTCAGAACTGCAAAAAGTGAATCCTCACTCACTTGTGTACTCAGCCTCAGAAGCAAATGACTATAACAGTAATTCTTACAGATATTGAGCTTAACATAAGCAAGGGAATAAAAAGATTACAGCATTATCCTTCGTCATTTTATTCTTTCCCACCTGGGTGAGTCAAAATAGCTGGGAACTTCCACTTCCTACTGCTGTGGAAATGAAAGGAGATCTGAGACGCAATTGGAATTATTTCCATGCTCAGTGGTAAAACTTTGAAATAGCGACAGAATTAATGAAAAAAAACCTCAGCATGTAAGACTTGTAAGTAAGTCTCTTGTAGTGCAGTGATACTAACCCTACTGCCACCCTAGAAGGCCCAGAGGCATGTAATAACATCTCCAAACAGGTTGATTAGAAAATATAAGAGTTGCAAACCTGTTTTCAATATTGGGGAAAGAGTGCTACAAGATCTGTTAACACCTTAGCACGCAATGAAGAGCAGAAAAGCAAATAAATGTTGCAGGCTGTGAAGAGACACTTCAAACACAAAGTTAGTGTTACTTATAAATGGTACTTGTTCAACATTTGAGCTTATGGGGAGGTAGAGATGTTGATCAGTATATTACCAAACAGATTCAGTTAGCTAAATTTTAAGAATTTGGACAACTGAAAAGTGATCTCATCAGAGATAGTATTGTCTTAGACAATCCTGGCATGAGAGCCTGTCTGCTGACTGAGGAGAAATGTACTCTTAATCTATTGACAGTGCAGAAGGTCTGAGCTGACAGTTTCAGCTAGGGCATACTAATAGAGCAACGGGTTAAGATTTGCAATTTGCTGAAGTGCTTTCCAGGCTGCATTAAAAGAAACAAATTAGGAAAAAGGAGATCTAAAACAAAAGATAGTGCAGGAAAAGAAGGGAGCAATCAAAAAAAGTGACAACTCCTACAGACTGAATTAGAAGCATGGTAGCTGTAAAAATACCTGGGCAACTGAAAGTATGCATAGATCCAAGGATCTTGGTGAAGCTTTTGAAGAGTTCTCACCATCTCATGTCAACTATTGAAGAAAGTTTGCTACAATTTCCAAAGCAAAGGTTTTTATTACCATCAATACAGAGGATGGTTATTGACAACTTTCTAACTACACTCTGGACACCATGTGCAGGATAGATACCATTTTGTATTTCAACCTTTCCCAAAGAGTATCAATGTCGACAGCACAAGGTGGTCAGTGATCTTCATGGAGTGGAAGCTGCTGTAGGTTATCTGCTAGACTGTGGATGTAAAGACACAATGGAAGAAGCCGTCGCAGATCATGATCAGAATCTGGAGTGATGGCTAGAGAGAGCTTGCCAGATGAACCTGAAGCTGATCAAGAAAAAGATACAGTTGAGGGTGCCTGAAGTTGAGTATTTAGGCCATGTACTGTCAGCAAAATGGCTTTGCCTGGATCCTAATAAGATGAGAGCTGTATGGGAGGCAAGGAGAACCAAAGACCTAATGGTATTATAGCTAGACTATTAATCCAGAAATTGAGCTAATGTTCCAGGGAACCGAGTTCAAATCCCGCTATGGTAGATGGTGGAGTTTGAATTCAGTAAAGAATCTGGAATTAAAAGTCTAACGATAACTATGAAACTGTTGTTGATTATCAGGAAAAAAAACAGCTTGTTCATTAATGTCTTTTAGAGAAGGAAATCTGTCATCCTTATGTGGTCTGGCCTACATGTGGTTGATTCTTAGCTGTCCTCTGGGCACTTAGGGATGGGCAGTAAATGCTGGCATAACAAGAGATGCCCACATCCTATGTGAATAAAAAAAGTACACGAATCCAACAGATATAAAAATGGTGTGAGGATTTGTTGGACTTATCAACTATTTTGCAAATTTCTAGCTTAATGTATCGCCAGAGTGTGAACATCTTGGTAAGGTCACTGCTAGAGGTGTGCACAGAAGAATCAGCAGCTTTCACTAATGTCAGACAACTAGTGATGACATGGCAGTGCTGTGGTACTATTGTGTCAATGATGAAGTCACCTTGCAGTGTGATTCCAGTGAGATAAGACACAGCTACCATTATGTACTGGGGACAACAAGATGCATTTGCATCCAGGGCATTATTACAATTTAAATGATGCTATGCTGAAACCGGAAAGAGTGCTTGGCTAGTTTCTTTGCTCGTGAGCATTTTAGTCAATGCCTGTTTGAGAGAGCCAAAGTGACAGCAGAGTCTGGCCATTAAAATCCTCCTCAAACTGCTTCCATCTGCTCTAGAGCACCTGTAAAAATGCCCCTTCGTTTGCAGGGACAGTATCTAGATGTGACATACAAGTAAAGGAAACAGAAGTGCATTGCTGACATGCTGTCAGGAGTAACACTCCTGTGATTAAAGTTTGAGGATTGTATGACAAAGTGCAAAATCATCCAGATTCAATGAAAAGCAACAGCTCAACATATTCTGGAATTCAGTGACCCAGCAGAGATAGTGAATCTGAAAGACAAGAGTCTCACTCCAATAAAAAAAAACTACTTAAACAGAATGCAACTCTCCAAGGGATTGGTATTGAAAAGATAACCTAAAAGCATCAAATATATGCCTGTTGTTTTAAAAGCATATTGGACATATAGCGATAAAATGATAGCCCAGAATGGCATCTTGAGCAAAGGAAAGAGAGTAATTACCTCTAAAGATATGAACAAAGGGACGCTGAAGCACATCCATGCAAACCATCAAGGATGTGAGTTTTGTCCGAGGAAGGCAAGAAAAGTGCTGTACTGGGCAAAAACGAACAAAGGATTAAGGATCACATTAACCAGTCTAGTACTTGTGAAATGTACCAAGCTAGGCAAGCTTAAGAGCTGTTCATGACACATCTCCGATCAATTGAACTCTTCTTCACTGAAGAACTGATCATCATGTCACTATCGACTACCATTCTGAATACTGGGTGTTAGACTAGCTGATATCAGCCACTAACGAAGAGATAGCAGCACAATCTCGTCTTCATGGCTTCCAGACATTGCGATGCGTGACAATGATCCTCGATTTTTCAAGTGAAGCATTGATGCATTTCACAAAAGATTAGGATATTCATCACAATTCGTCAGCTCCACATTAACCCCACTCAAATGGAAAGGCGCAGGCAACAGTGGAAATTGCCAAAGGGGTCAGAAGCAAATCGAGCACAGACTTGCACAAGGCAATGCTGGAGCGATGAAATACATGGGCTAAAGTCTTGGAAAACAGGCCAGTGAAAGACTATTGTCACAGTGTGTTCCTAAACTACTCTTGCAATGACGAAAAAAAAAACTACTGAAGCCAGAAGGTGTGAGTAACAACTTCAAGGTGAAATGACAGCAACCCAAATTTCACTTTGATAAAACCACCAAGTCATTGCCAGAGCTGAGCATTGGAGAGCCAGTCAGATTGCAAATGTTCAGCTGTCTCCACAAGAATAAGCCCATGTAGAAACTTGGGAATTGTGTAGAGTAGTTGTCGCCTCAACCACACACAGTGAATATGAATGGCCAGATATGTTGTTGCAATCACAGACACGCATGCAACTGGTGAATCGACAGTGACTTTAGACATTTTCTTTTGCCCTCTTAGATAGTTGGAGACTTTGAGAAACTCAGCCAGGAGCAGTCGGAAAGCAAGTGATGTCAACTAGGAATTGAACAGGCAGCAGATCGGAAAGATGTGATCTCACCATCTGCACAGAGTATAGAATGATCACTGTTATCCCGTAATGGAAATCGAACAACGATAGTTATAACAGCTACAACACTCTCCTTGAGAATGACATTGTCCAGAGAAGGAAGATCTCTAAGAACAAGCAGATACTAGAGGAAAAATCAATATCAACACGCACAATGCTATTAGGCAATCTACACGATTTGAAGACAATGTCTGTAATTTATTTTTCAAAGATTGACAAAAGAGGAACAGACTAGAAACTATTTTGTTAATAAGTGACAATTTTTTGTCATTATCTATCATGCTTAATTTGTAACTGAAAATGAGAACGAATGCGCATAATTTTGTACTTTTTATGAAAAGCCGGATGTTTGGAGAATTGTTATTGTGACTTCAGTGTCCTATCTGACTTGCCATAGTGGTGTGACCTCTACTTTTGTGTGCAGACTGTGGCAGCCATTAAACACACACCACTTGAAGCACAGACAGCTTTCCTTGCTTGAAAATTTGAAGGCTAAAGGGGATGAAAGGCATAAAACCGAAAAGCTGAGGCTGGGACGTGAGAGAGATCAAGTTGACTGGAGCAGAGGAGCTGTTTGAGAGTTAACATTCCAGTTGGAGGTTCGAGATTGATATCCCTGGCTTTCTGACTTTGGTTGAGGTTGTCAGAGTGGTCCAGTTATTTGGGAGGGCAAATGAAAATGTCTGAAGGCTTCCACCTTTAAGTAGCCTTTCTTTCTGACTGTTTAACCCAGGATTTGCACTGGTGGAACCTATGGAGGTACTTAAGAGAAGGGCCAATCCAATGTTTGAATGGATGAAGTCAGAAATCACATGACATCAGATTATAGTCCAACAGGTTTATTTGAGGTCACAAGCTTTCGGAGAGCAACTCCTTTGTCAGGCACCTTCACTTGATGAAGGAAGAATGTACTGAAAGCTTGTGACTTCAAATAAACATGTTGGACTATAACCTGGTGTCATGTATTTTTGACTTTGTCCATCCTGGTACCTCCCATATCATGAAAGGAGGAAAGCAGCATAATTAACTCCTAGAAGTAGAAGCAAAATGGAAAATTGATTTCTTGATCTGGAACAATTTAAACACTCAGATTTGTCAGTTTCCTTTTACCGTATCACGTTTAAGGTAGCATTTCATTTTTTGTGTGTTGTGTTTTTCATAATTCAAAACTGCCGAATTCACTATTTCATAAGGGATGTGCCACTATGATTTCAGATTTCTGGCTCCCTGCTTCTTGTGGTCGGGCAGAGTGTTTGAGTCCCACACTTGGTCATTGAAACTCAATATCTATCGTGTCAGGCTATGGCAGGTTGCCTTCAGAGGTCAAAGTTATTTGTCGGTTTTTCCAGAGCTTATTATGGATGCATTAATGGTGATGTGGGAAGTACAACTTCTTATAGTTTGCTCTAAGTTAAAAATTCGAAATTCCAACATGTTTCCAGTCCAGGGAAATGTGTCCAATGTAACATTTGCCCATTAAGCAGAATTCCTGAACAAAATGCTTAACCATTTCTGATGAAGGGTCTAGGCCCGAAACGTCAGCCTCTCTGCTCCTATGATGCTGCTTGGCCTGCTGTGTTCATCCAGCCTTGCACCTTGTTGTCTCGGATTCTCCAGCATCTGCAGTTCCTACTATCTCTGCTTAACCAGCCTGCTTTGTTTCAAGATGAAACGAATGGCTTAAGGTACAAATACTTGTAAAACAAATGTTCTTATGTAAAATTCACACAAACTGTCAGACCAAAAGATATCATACTTATGCCACGTAAAAAGTGTTCTTTGGTCATACTTCATTTATTTGTTGCAGGATGACTCTATGAATATTATTAGAAAATGGGCAACTAAACTTGAAGATCGAGGTGTACATGTTGTAATTGGTGGACATGAGTCTTCACACCCAAAAGGAGGTAAGCCATAGTTCATGAGTGTTTAATTTTGATCATTTGCGATATAATACATTTTTTCTCTGCTGTGCGTTGTAACATCATGCTGACATTGTAACGTTTAAAGTACAGGATGTTCCAGTGCTTAAAACATTTGTCCTGCCTAGTAACAAGGAGTTACACCACTCAAATCTGTTCAAGACTCCGTGAAAAGCAGCTCAAGGGTCAGAGTCAGTTTTAATCAGAGAGAAAATCAAGAGACAGGGAAGAACATAGAATATAGAACATAGAACAGTACAGCACAATACAGGCCCTTCGGCCCACAATGTTGTGCCGACCTATTATCCTACTAAGATCAGTCTACCCTACATTTTACTATCCTCCATGTGCCTATCCAAGAGTCGTTTGAAAGTCTCTAATTCCACACACCCACCACTCTCTGTGTGAAGAACCTACCTCTGACATCTCCCCTATACCTTCCTCCAATCACCTTAAAATTATGCCCCCTCGTAATAGTCATTTCCGCCCTGGGAAAAAGTCTCTGGCTATCCACTCTATCTATGTCTCTCATCATCTTGTACACCTCTATCAAGTCACCTCTCATCCTTCTTCACTCCAATGAAAAAAGGCCTAGCTCTCTCAACCTTTCCTCAATGTCCAATGCTAAGGGGTGACCTTATAGATGTTCATAAAATCATGATGGGCATGGATAGAGTAAATAGACAAGGTATTTTCCCTGGGCTGGGGGAGTCAAAAACTAGAGGCTACAGAAACGTAGAAACATAGAAGACAGGAGCAGGAGGAGGCCATTCGGCCCTTTGAGCCTGCTCCACCATTCATCACGATCGTGGCTGATCATCCAAAACAATAGCCTAATCCTGCTTTCTCCCCATAACCTTTGATCCCATTCACCCCAAGTGCTACATCTAGCCACCTCTTGAATACATTCAATGTTTGGGCATCAACTACTTCCTGTGGTAATGAATTCCACAGGCTCACCACGCTTTAAGCAAAAAAAAAAAAGTCTCCTCATCTCTGTCCTAAATGGTCTACCCCGAATCCTCAGACTGTGACCCCTGGTTCTGGACATACCCACCATTGGGAACATCTACCCTGTCCAGTCCTGTTAGAATTTTATAATTCTCCGTGCTGCACATCTCTATGACTGTATAAGATCCTGGTAAACTTGAATGCATTGATTTAGAATATAAGAATTTTAGGAACTGGGAAGAAAAACATTTATCTCAATTATCCCATTTCCTTTGATTGATGTCAACTCCAATAACACACAGAATATGCAAACAAAATTATGAACTTACCTTCCCCAAGCATTGTCACCGTATCTACCCTGCTACAGACTATAGGAGTTCATGAAGGCAGCTCACCACTACCATGTCAACACTAATTGGCGATGGCCAATAAATGCTGACCTAGCCAGTGACGCCTATTTTAACATGTTTTTGAAAAAAAAATACAAACAACAAATTAGATAAAGGGTAAGACGTTTTAGCAAGATCAAAAGCTCTATGCATCTAAACTTCAACAGTTAGCTCTGTGGGAATAGAGATGAACAAAAGTCCTGAGGTACTTACTAACTTAATGAAGCATGAAGGAAGCTGTCTGCCAGAGATGATGGTAGTTCAGTACAGCTGAAAATGGAGAGGTCAAGGAAGCCCTCAAGAAGTATTTGCTTGGTGTGGTTCAGGAGATTGGAATTCAGAGAAGCTCAGAGGGCGTTCCAATCCAGCTAAACTGAACTATTTGCTCTGTGGAACTGGAGTGGAGCCTTGTGAATCCGATGGGGCGTATTCTTGGAAGGAGAATTTGAAGGTGCTGGTGAGAAGTGACCCAGGAGGATTCTGGGAGAAGTTGGTGCAGTTAGCACAACTGAAAATTTTGAGTAAAAGCCTTACCAAATCAGCAGCTGGGAACTGGAATCATGGAGGCTGGATACAGTGAATACAGCAGGTTAAAAACTTGAGCATGGGTTATTTTGGGCCTAGTTTGGAATAGAAGCCTTACCATAATCCATTACACAGGGATGATCATTGGAGCTGTACTTCATGACATCACAAGTTCAGAAGTGGACAGAAGGGCTCCTGATTTGGTACATAATGGTCTAGTGATTTTTTTCTTCTTATCTTCAATTTCCATTCACCTTTCCATACTCATAAGGCTTCAATATAGTGGAATTTAGTCTACTGCTAGGGTAACATAGTACTGGGATTTAGAGTGGCACCCAGACTGTTGTTTACAGAATAGTAGATTTAGTATTTTTTTTCTGTAAGAATCTCACAGTAGTGGCCATGTTAGTTAGCTGTAAATTCATTTAATAGAAATTTAGTTTTAATTGAATAGTTGCTAGATGGTAAAAACGGCATCCAGCAGGTAGTATGGTTCTCCTGTGGAATGTGGGAAATCAAAGACAGTTTGAACGTCCCTGACGTCTACATCTGCAGGAAGTGTGTCCAATTGTAGCTCCTGATAGACCACATGGATCAGTTGGAGTGGTAGCTGGGCATACTTAGGAGCATGCAGGAGGTGGAAAGCATCATAAACAGGAGTTTTGGAGACCTGGTCATGCCCAAAGTTCAGGCAAATGGATGGATGACCGTTAGAAGGGCCAGGCAGACCGTGCAGGAGCCCCCTGTGGCTATCCCCCCCTCTCAGCAGTGTATCATTTTGGATACTGTTGGTGGGGGGAATGGTAACAGCAACAGCCAGAGCGGTGGCACCACAGCTGGCTCTGTTGTACTGCAGGGAGGGTCAAAGTGCAGTAGAACAGTAGTAAGAGGGTCTCCAAAGTCAGGAACACAGGCATTTCTTTGGCCATACGAGACAGATGGTGCGTTGCCTCCCTGGTGCCAGGGTCAAGGATGTCTCTGAGCGGGTATGGGACATTCTCAAAATGGTGGGCAAGCAGTCAGAGGTTGGACAAATTGGTACCAACAACATAGGCAAGTAGAGTGCAGAGGTCCTGCAAAGGGAGTTCAGGGAGTTAGGTAGTAAGTTGAAAAGCAGGACCTTTCGGGTTGTAAACTCAGGTTTACTCCCTGTGCCCCAGGCCAATGAGGCTAAGCATAGGAAGATAAAACCGTTAAATATGTAGCTAAAGAGCTGGTGTAGGAGGGAGGATTTCAGGTATCTGGATCATTGGGATGTCTTCCAGAGCAGCAGGGATCTGTTCAAAAGGATGGGTTGCTCCTAACCTGAAGGGGCACCAACATCCTGGCAGTGGGGGTGGATTTGCTAGTGCTACTCGGAAGAGTTTAAACTAGTATGGCAGGGAGTGCGGGAACCAGAGCTGCAATCCGGTAAGTAGCATAATCGAGGAGGAGTCTAAGACTAAGGCCAGTAAGGCTAAGAGGAAGAACAAACAGGGACAGGTTATTGAACACGGCAGGACTGGCAGTCTGAGGTGTATTTGTTTTAATGCAACGAGTATGACAGGTAAGGCAGATGAAGTTAGAGCTTGGATTATAGTACATAACTATGATGTTGCAGCTATTACAGAGACTTGGTTGAGAAGGGGACAATGCTGGCAACTTAGCATTCCAGGATTTAGATGTTTCAGGCGAGATGGAGAAGAACGTAAAAGTCGTTGGGGGAGTTGCATTACTGATTAGGGAGAATATCACAACTGTACTCGGAGGACACCTTGGAGGGCTCAAACAGCAAGGCCTGATCAGTAGAGTTCAGGAACAGGAAGGGTGCAGTCACTTTGATGGGATTGTACTATAGGTCTCCCAACAGCCAGCAGGTGATAGAAGAACAGATATGTGGACAGATTATGGAAGAATATAAATAAAACAGGGTTGTTGTGGTATGTGATTTTAACTTCCCCTACATTGACTGGGACTCCGTTGGTGCCAGGGCTAGGATTGGAGGGAATTTGTTAGGCGCATCCAGGCGGGATTCTTGAATCCATGTAAAAAGTCCAACTAGGGAAGGGGCCATGCCAGACCTGATATTGAGGATTGAGCCAGGACAGGTGATCAAAGGTTCAATGGGAGAGCATTTTGGGAACAGTGACCATAATCCTGTAAGTTTTATAGTTCTTGGATAAAAGTACTAAGCTGGGGGAAGACCAACTATGACAATATTATCCAGGAACTGGGGAATCTTGATGGGGGCAGCTATTTGAGGGTAAATTCACATCTGGCATGCGGGAATTTTTTAAAGGTCAGTTGTTTAACGTTCAGGGCCAGCATTTTCCTGTGAATATGAAGGATAAGGATGGCAAGATTCGGGAACCTTAGATGACAAGAGAAATGGTAAGCTTAGTCACAAAGAAAGAGGAGGCATACGTAAGGTTTAGGAAACTGAAGACAGATAGAGCCCTCAAGGAATATAAAGAAAACAGGAAAGAAGTTAAGTAAGGAGTTAGGGAGGCTAAAAGGGGCTCTGAAATGTCCTTGGGAAACAGGATTAAGGAAAATCTCAAGGGCATTATTCCATATATAAGGAGCGAGAGGGAAGATAAGGTCCACTCGAGGACAAAGGAGGAAATTTATGCATGGAGCTGGAGGAAGTAGGTAAGGTTCTTAATGAATACTTCGCATCAGTATTCACAAAGGAGAAGGACGTGGTGGATGGTGAGTATCGGGTGGGGTATGTTACTATTCTAGGGCATGTCAGTATAAAAAAGAAGGTGGCATTGTGTATTTTGAAAAGGTTTAAGACAGACAAGTCGTTAGGACCTGATGGGATCTATCCCAGAATGCTGAGGGAGGTAGGTGAGGAAATTGTTGAGGCCTTGTATGAAATCTTTGTATCCTTTTAATCACAGGAGAGGTCCCAAAGGAACATTAGCCAACGGTGTTATTTTGGTAAAGAAGGGCAACAAGGATAATCTGAGAAATTACAAGACAGTGAGCCTTAGGTCAGTAGTAGGGAGATTTTTGGAGAAGTTTCTTCGAGACAGGATTTACTCATATTTGGAAAAATATGTGCTTATTAATGATAGGCAGTATGGCTTTGTGTCGGGGAGGTTGTGTCTCTCAAACTTGATTGAGATTTTTGAG